TTACGCTGCCTATGTTTCCTTTTGCTGTTCCTCCATCGATGGGGTCGTATTTGATGCGTGATTCGTCTTGAGAGGGAGGGAGTCCTTGCTTGGCCAGCAATCAGCATCAGGGCAGAGGGGGGGGAGGGGGGGAAGAGGGAAGGTGGTAGAGGGGGGGGGCAGTGGGGCCTGTGCAAAGGAAGGGCAGGGGCGGTGTGGTCGCAGGAGCAGGGGGTTCACGGGGTCAAGAGATCCGAAAATACAGACCGCTAATTTGTAACAAGGATGAAGTTAGTCGGTTGGAAAGGGATGTCAAAGTGGTTTCGAGGCAGTCGTTCCCATCGGGGTTCCGTTAATAGCCACTGCTTCCATCGCAGATGGTTGTCCGCTCCAGTTCACAGAGCCTCTGTTCGTTATCCACCCATAACGTGCGGAAGTTGTGTGAGGGGTCGTTACGTTTGATTGCATCCGGTTCGTTTGTCAGCATGTTTCGAAGCTCTTGCCAGGCCGCATGGGTACTGACCGTTATTGTTTCCACGATTGATGCCCGTGCTTCCATATACCGGAACGTGTGCTGTTTGCGTTCGTGTGCACACCTCATTCGCCATGCCGCCATAAGCATTGGTAGGCGTGTGATGGTGGGTGTTTTGGTACCCTGGTTGGTCTTGTCCCGTTGTTTGGCCTGTGACGGAGGGGGTGGTGCTTGCACGTGCGACTTGTCATCTAGGATTTGTTTATGTTTGTTTGCCCCTGTTTTGTTATATTTGGCTGTTCCCTTCCTCTTTCTTTGCCTCTTTGCCTTTTGGCTGTGTGCAAGTGGGTCGATATGACACACGGGGGTGGGGGCACCCGCCACTCAACCTACATCCACGTGGGCGGCCTTGTACGCAAGAGGTTTTGAACAGGGGGAGTTGTAAGTAAGAAGAGAAAAAATGAATTGTTTTTTTCTTGTTTTTTTCGTTTTTGTGCTCTTACATCTTTGTGCGAGGCCACAGCCTCGATGAGCCCCCTTTCAGGCCCTGTCAAGCAGCACGTCTGCTGCCCTGAGTTAAGGCAGGCTCGACGAGGACCTGAGGGCCCCTATTTCGGCCACCATGCAACTAAGGAAATTCAGGCAGTTGTGCAGTGCCAGTTGGTTGAAAGAACCCAGGCTCTGGGCCGCCTGTTTGCATGTATCGAAGGCAGGCCCTGGGCTGGATACGGGATGTGGGCCAAACACAGGCCGAAGGCAGTTGGGCACAAGCAAACACCTCAGGCCCTGGGCCTGATTTGTTTCGGACTGGGCCTCAGCGTAAAGGGGCCTACCGGAAGCTTCTTGGGAAAGGCCCAGCGCAGCCTGGGACAGAACGCAGGCAGGCCACTTCCATATAGCAAAGGGCCTGCCTCCGCATTGGAGATTCGGGTGCTGGCTGCATGCTGCGCAAGCGCTGCTGCGCTGAGGCTGGCTAGCGCTCACGCGCTCACGCGCTCACGGGCGAGCTGGAAGGAGCAGGCAGCCATAGCCGAGCTGCGCTGCTGTGAGCTGGGTGTGGCGCAGGGTGGTCCTTGGGTGCATGTGGCATCTGTGTGTTGGGGAACGAGGTTGTGAGTGACGCGAGAGACATACCTGGTGCTGGAAGCGTGCGGCATTGGCCACTATCTGCTCGTACTTCGGGAGAGCTGTTGTCGTCATCTTCGGCATTGTAGTCTAGGCTAGATAAGATCTGCCATCTGTAGTCTGGGCGCCGAGCGCCAGATAGGATATCAACATTGGTTCATCGTTGATGATGATGATGAGACTATTACAGCATTGTCAATTATGAGCTTTTGGTGTGCTCTTATTTGGTGAAACTTGTGATGCAATTCTGCTATTGGTTCGAGGTCACAACTATCTGGTCTTATGTGTATGATGCTGTTTGATTGCTGAAGTTCGATATTGCTCATCTTCCTTGCATTTGTGACGATATATATATACACAGCCCCTCGTTTGTTGTCCTCTTCTCTCTCTTTCCCTACGGTTTACCGGGCAGTTCTGTTTGTGACGATATATATATATATATATATATATATATATATATATATATATATATCGTCAAATATATATATATATATGTGACGATATATATATATATAAAAGAGTATTAGATATGCATATGTACCAGATGTAGTAGATATAGTATTGGAGATCCACCTCCCTCACATCTGTGTTTCGCCACCTGGAATTCGCACTCTGTTCAGTGCAGACTACCATGTTCAGGCTTTTCCAAAGGTGATGAGAAACGACAAGGTGGTATTCAACAGCAAGATATTGTCACTCTCGGCCAGTCAGCCACAGTCATAGGTAATTATGTCCATCTGGGAGCCAAAACGCTTGAACTCAGTGCGAGACCAACTCACATCTGGCCATCAGCTGGACACACAGCAAGTGGTAATCAGACATTACCCTCCCACTGCCTTGCAATCGTTCCTACTGCCTGCCATGCACGATATCTGCATCTGGTCCAAAATTTGCCCTAAATACCTGGGCAGTGGGCAGTCATAATCACGCATCCATACTATGGTTGTCAGGTGACAAAATAGAAGTGAAACAGAGATATCAGCACGCCTAAGTACCCTCCCACTAGAGGTGCAGACTTCCAATACCACGTCACCTCGGACCTACAGGGTAGGTAGCAAGGGCAATGCTGTGGTTTGAAAATATGAGTCCTCTTCCATTATGGCAAAAATTAAGTTCGTATCCCTGCAGGGCAGTAGAGTAGCAGCCAATTATGAACTCCTCAATCAAGAAAAACGAGTGTGTCCCTGTGCGTGCAC